GGTCACCGGACCCGAAACATTAACTCTGATTTTGTTTTTTCTTCACAGATGCTGCCAGACCTGCTGAGCTTTTCCAGCAACTTCTGTCCTTGCTCCTGATTTACAGCTTTTTTTATTTAGTAATCTAGAGACCCAGGCCACTTCTCTGGGAACATTAGTTTGAATCCTATCTCAGTAGATGATGAAATTTGAACACGATTAACAAATCTGGAATTAAAAGCTACTTTAACGGTGACCAGGAAACCATTGGTAATTGCTCCAAAATCCCACCTGGTTCACTAATGTTCATTAGGAAAGGAAAATCTGCCATCCACATCTTGTCTGGCCTACATATTTTTCCAGATCCACCAGAATGTGGTCACGTAGAATGAAAGAAAATAGGAGCAGCAGTAGGCCATTTGACCTTTACAGCCTACTTTGCCATTCAATATGGTCCTGGCTGACCAACTCAGTATCCTGTTCTTGCTTTACAGCCCCCCACCCCTCCCCGCCCCATACTCTTATAAAACTCTTATAAAACTATATAAAACTCCTTCTTGAAAACAGTCAACGATTTGGCTTCAAACATTCCCTGTGGCAGAGAATCTACAGGCTCACCACTGTCTTGATGAAGAAATTTCTCTTGATCTTAGTCCTAAATGGGCTAAACACTGTGGCCCTTGGTTTCGGACTCCCCGGTCATCAGAAACATCCTGTTTTTACTCTGTCTGGTCCTGTTAGAATTTTACAGGCTATGAGATTCCCCACATTCTTCTAAATTGCAGTGAATATAGTCCTAAACCCCATCTACATCAACGGAACTGAGGTTGAGAGATTGAAGAGCATCAAGTTCCTCAGAATGATGATAACCGACGACCTGTCCTGGACTTCCCATGTAAGTGCAACAATCAAGAAGGCACAACGACGCCTCTTCTTCCTTAGGCGGCTCAGGAAATGTGGCATGTCCATAAGATCCCTCACCAACTTCTACAAATGCACCATTGAAAGCATACTGTCCGGGTGCGTAACAGCCTGGTATGGCAACTGCTCTCCCAGGTCCATAAGAAACTACAAAATGTGATGTGCGCAGCCAAGACAATCATAGAATCCAACCTTCAATCCGTGAACTCTATTTACATGGCCTGTTGCTGCGGAAAGGCAGCCAACATCATCAAAGACCCATCGCACCCTCGTAAGGATCACCTACAACCTCTTCCATCAGACAGAAGGTACAGAATCCTGAACACACGCACAAGTAGGTTCAGGAACAGCTTCTTTTCAGCTGTTATCAGACTGTTGAATGACTCTAGCCTCAAATAATGTAACCTTTATGACTCTAAGTCTTTTTGATCTGTACATCCTTTGCTTGCTGTGATCCGCCTGTACTGCTTGTTAACAAAGCTTTTCACTGTATTTTGATACACGTGACAATAAAATCAAATCAAATCAGTATGTCTTCACACATCAATTCTGCCATCACAGAAATCAGCCTAGTAAATATTTGTTGCACTCCCACACAGCCAAAATATCCCTCTTCAGATAATGAGACCTAAACTGCATACAATACTCGAAGTGTGATCTCATCAAGACCCTGTATAATTGCAGCAAGACATCCCTGTTCCTATTACTAAAATATTTTGCTATGAACGTCAACAAACAATTTGCCTTTTCACCATCTGCTGCACTTGCATGATTACTTTCAGTGACTGCCGTACAAGGACATCCAGGTATCTCTTCCTTTCCCAATCTATTGCCATTCAAATAATAATCTGCCTCATGTTTTTGCTATCATGTGGATAACCTTACATTTATCCACATTATGCTACATCTGTCATGCATTTTCCATGCTTTTGCCCATTTACTCAACTTGGCCAAATCACGCTAAAACATCTCTGCATCCTCCTCACAGTTCATCCTGCCAACCAGCTTTGTGTCGTCTTCAAACTTTGAGATGCGTCATCTTATAAATGCCCATTGAAATTGTCTAGCAAGCCAACCACTGTATCTTACTGCTTTAGTGTCTGATTTTAGAAAACTGGACAGACCACCCAATATCAACAAAGACATTATAAACAGCATCAAAAATATATTAGTCCTGTAAAGTCATCCTTACTAACATCTGATGGCTTGTGCCAAATGTAGGAGAGCTGTCACACAGACAAGTAAGACAACAGCTTGACATAGCCCTCAAAGAATCACACCTAACAAGCTGCGTCCCAGACACCACTATCACTATTCCTGGCTCTGTTCCAATCCAGCAAAATGACAGACCCATCAGAAGTGGTAGCACAATGATGTACAGTTGGGAGGGAGTTTCCCTGGGATTCTCAACACTGACTCAGGAATGTATGAAGTCTTATGAAATCAGTCAAACATAGCCAAGGAAACCTCCTGCTTATTACCATCTACTACCTAGAATATGAATCTGTTCTCCATGTCAAACACCACTTGGAGGTTGTACTGAAGGTGGCAAAGACAAACAATGCACTCTGAGTTGAGGACTCCAATTCCATCACTAAGAGAGGCTGGGTATGGCATCACCGGTGACCACACTGGTCATATCCTGAAAGAAAAAAAATTTGCTAGACTTGGTCTACAGCAAATGGTAAGGGAAACAAGAGGTAAAAACATACTTAAATTTGTCTGCAATAAACAACCTGTTGCAGATTCATTTGTCCATGACGGTATTGATAGGAGTGACAACCATACAGTATTTGTGAAGTCAAGGTCCAAAATTGGCATTGAAGATAGCCATTAATACACACACATATATGAATGAATGAATGAATGATTTTATTTTCACATGTTTACAGTAAACATATAAGAAAATACAAGACACTTTTTATTTGTCATGTCGATTCAGCACCATTTGAATTGTTTAAGAATAAGGAAAGAAAACAAAAGATATAGGTTAAAAAGAGTGAATGAGTCCTGAGCCAGCTTATCACTCACCATCAGTGATGCCTGTGTCACAAGCCCTTGTCCACTGCTTTGCTGCCATCTACACTGGACCCAACCAATGTAAAGTCACCAATCCTCAGGCACCGTCTTTCGCTGCTGGCCTGATACTCCTCCAGCACCACTTCACTGCCTCCCGAGTGGGACCAACTAACATTGGAGTTGTGTCTCTCGCTGCTCGACCTGCCTTGTCAACGTCACTGTGATGACCTTCCGTCACTGCTTTGCTGCCACCAGTGCCAAACACAACCAATGGTGAAGTCGCAACTCCTCAGGTATCATCTTTCACTGCTAGGCCTACCTCACCAACATCGCCTCCAACAATGTAGCAGCCATTGATTCTGATGCCAGCTTCTGTGCTCGCCCCAGAAATGTAAGTAAAGGCCCACTCGAGGTGCATGCTGGGCTCGCTCTCCTCCGTGCACATCCCACTCGAGATCCACGCTCAAGGTCTGCATGCTGGACCCACTCACAGTCTGCACTAGGCTCACCCATAGTCCACACACTGGGCCTGTTCTAGGTCTGCGGTGGGCTCGCTCAAGGTTCACGCTGGGCTCTCACCACCGCCATGCTGTCCGAGCTCAGGACAAAAGGTAAGTAAAGATACACATAGACAAAATACAAGAAAACAAAGAAAAGAAAAGCGGTCAGAGAGTCAAGCTCTGGCTCAGAATCCCTACTATGATGCCATTCTTGTCAATATATAGCACAAACAGCAAGAGACTTAACATCGAGTCATGAGAAACACCACTGGGAACCACTTTCCAAATACTTGACACCAGTACCTTTTCTTTCCAGTCGCTGAGCCAATTTTTGATCCAAATCATCACAGTCTCCTGTATCGCATGGGCTTTAATTTTCTGACCAGTGTGCGATGTGGTACCTTGTCTTATTAAGATCCATGTTGATAACACCCACTGGACTAATCTAATTAATCTTCCTTGTTACTGTCTCAAAAAATTTAACTGAGTTATTAAGAATGATCTTTCCTTGACCAAATCATGCTAACTATCCCTAATGAATCTATGCCTCTCTAAGTAACAGTTAATCCTATCTTTTAGTGCTGATTCTAGCAATTTTCCACCATTGAGGTCAAACAGAAGCGCAGATAATTATTTGGTCTATTTCTCGCACATTTTTCGAATAATGGTACGAAGTCCACGGACGTCAAATCTATGGTGCTTTTCCTGAAATTTGGCAGGATTAGAAAATTATCATTGCAGCATCCATTTTTACTCCCTGGCTTCCTTGAACAGCATAGTGTATGATTCATTTGGCCCTACCGATTTCTCCACACTCAAGGAAGTCACTCCCTCCAGTACTTCCCTTTTTATTATATTTATTTTATCTAATATTTCACATTCCTCTTCTTTAAATACAATGTCAACATTGTCCCTCTCTTTGTAAAGGCCAAGACAAAGTATTGATAAAGAATCTTGCCCACAACGTTTGCATCCACATGACTACACTGAGTCCAACTCTCATTTTTGGAAGTCTCCTACTGATTTGCAACCGACTTTCCTTCAAGCAACTATATTCATTTAACTTTTTTCCAGAACATCTCTCAGCTGTGTAAAATTTCCCTTTGCCCATTTAGAACTTTCACTCCTGTTTTATCTTTGCATCTCTTCTTAATGTTGCTTACACCTAAATAAACTACGATTACTCTCTCCAAAATGATCACCCACTGCTAATTCATCTAACTGACCAACTTCATGGGTGCTCTCTTGTTCAGCGTGTTATGTTCTGGCTAAGAAAGTTCTCTTGAAAGGTCCAGTTGAAAACCCAAATATTATTGCCCTAATGTTTCTGCTTTCAGAAATCTGCTATGTTTTGTCTCCTCTAACTCTCTATATGGGAGTCGAAAATGCATGGCAGTTCTAAGAAACAATGATACACAAGAAAGCATTGTTGACTAATAAGAAATGTTAAATGATAAAAAATGCTTTACAGATCTGCAATGAGCAATCTAATAAGCCATAATTAACTGAAGTTTTATTTTCTGGAGAGCAACTTGCCTCCACTCGCAAGGAAGACATTCCTAAAGAGATAATTGATAGTTCCTAGTTATTCCCACACTTTTGCCCCTTCCCCAAGGTGATTCTGCTTACCTCTGAATATTCTGTTTGCTCTAACTCATCTATTAATGACTTCAGTGGTATCAAGTACAAAACAATATCACTTGCCTCTTCTAGACCTATATTTAATACAGATAACAGGCAACAGAAAATAAGTTTAAAGTCAATCAGTTTCTCACTACTTTTAATTCACAAATATGTAAAAAATCCCATCTGAATTTTAGCAATACAAAAGTATTGGCACATACTTATTTTTCAACACATACTTTACACAAACAAAATCTTATTACACCATTAGTACCTGCTCTGATGTCATAATACAAGCTTTTCAGAGCTGGCCAATAACTGCTCTTGGATTTTTCTAGAACTTCAGAAATTTTGCGTGCTTTTGGCATCCACAACTGAAATACAGAAACATGTTAAATGCTAGTAAAGTTGCACAGTGTATTAATTCTGTTTAATATCAAGTGAAAGATTCTTTGGACAACAAACAAGATATTTTGGAGAAGACAGGCAAAGTCTTTCACGTTACGGGAGGCAATGGCCTGGTGATATTATTACTAGACTATTAATCCAGAAGCTCAACTAATGTTCTGAGGACCTGGATTCATATCCTGCCATGGTAGATGGTGAATTTGGCTTCAATAAAGAGCCTGGAATTAAGGGTCTAATGAAGACTATGAAGCCATTGTCAATTATGAGGACAAGTCCATCTGTCACTAATATCCTTTAGGGAAGGAAATCTGTCATCCTTACCATGAGTGGCCTACATGGCCCCAGACCCAGACAAAGTGATTGACTCTTAACGGTCCTTTGGACAAATAGGGATGGGTAATAAATGCTCACCTAGCCAGAGACGCCTACATCCCATGTGTGAATGAAAAGAAAAGCTAACAAATTTTTCATCAAGAGTCACTCGACTCGAAACATTGATGCTGTGTTTCTCCAGCAGTCTATTTGTGTTTCAACTGGACTTGTACTCACTAGTATTCAAAGGAAGAGAGGGGATCTGATTAAAACATATAAAATTCAAACAGGGTTGGATAGACCAGAAGCAGGAAGAAAGCTAATTGAGGAGTCTAGAACTCAGGATACAGGGTAAGACAATAAGACACAAGAGCAGAATAGTATATTCAACCCATTGAGTCTGCTCCACCATTCAATGAGATCATGGCTAATCTGATAATCATCAATCCCACTTTCCTGCCTTTTCCCTATAACCCTTGATTCATTGACTGCTTAAAAATCTGTCTATCGAGTCTTGAATATACTTAATGATCATGCCTTGAAAACTCTCTCCAGTAAAGAATTCCACACATTCATTGTTCTCTGAGAGAAGAAATTCCTCATCTCGGTCTCAAATGGGTGACCCCTTATTCTGACATTATGACCTCTGGTTCTGAACTCTCCCACAAAGTCTCTATCCTGTCAAGTCCCATGAGATTTTTGTATGCTTCAATAAAGTTGCCTCTCATTCATGTAAATTGCAATGAGTACAGGCCAAACCTGCTCAAACTCTTCCCATAAATGGTAACAGCCTAGTGAACCTTCTCTGGACAGCTTCCAATGCCAGTATATCTTCCCTTAGATAAGGGGCACAGAACTGTTCACTGGATTTCAACTGTAGTCTGACTGCTGCCTTATACAGTTTCAGCAAAACCTCCCCTTGGAAGTATAGACTATATGCAATTTGCCTTCCCTATTACCAGCCTTCTAATGAATAACTAGTTATATACAATGAATGAGGAATGAAATAAAAATTCTGTTATTCAGTGATTCTCTTTGCTTCTGTTACTCTATGAGGCAAAAAAAATTCATATTCTTCCCATTCTTTTGGTAAAGACATTATCCTGAATATCCTATTGAATCTAATGACTTAAGGGTTGAAGAATGGCAGATAGAATTTAATTTGAATTAATGCGAGGTCTTGCATTTTAGTAAAACAAATAAGAGCAGGACTCATAAAATTAAAAATAGGGCCTTGAGTAGTTCTGGAGAACAGAGAGACCTACGGGTTCAGATATATAATTCTTTGAAGTAGATAAGGTGATTAAGAAGGCGTTCAGCACACTTGCCTTCATTGTTCAGACTTTTGAGTATAGGAGTTGGGGCATTATGTTGAGGTTCTACTAGATGTTTGTGAGGCCTTTTCTGGAATACTGTGTCTGGTTCTGGTTGCCCTGTTATAGGAAGAATATTATTAAGCTGGTGAGGGTTCAGAGGAGATTTAGTAGGATTTTGCCAGGAATGGAGGATTTGAGGTTTAAGGAGAGGCTGGATTGGCTGCAACTTTTTTCACTGGCGCATAGGAGATTGAGGGGTGATCTTATAGAAGTTTATATAATTCTGAGGGGTACAGATAAGGCGAATGGCAGGTGTCTTCTCCCTAGGGTGGGGAATTTTGAGACTAGGGGCCATATATTTAATATGAGGGGAGGGAGATTTTAAAAAGACATAAGGAGCAATTTTTTTTTAGATAAAGAGTGGTTCATGTGTAGAATGAACTTCCAGAGAAAGTGGTGGATACAGGTACAGTTACAACAGTTAAAAGACATTTAGATAAGTACATGAATAAGAGATGTTTGGAGGGATATTGGCCAAACGCACACAAGTGGGACTAGTTTAGTTTGGGATTATGGTCGGCATGGACTGGTTGGACCGAAGGATCTGTTTCCGTGCTGTATGACTCTATGACTCTATGACTCTATCTCATATTATGTCATCTCTCCCAATTTTTGACCCACCCAATTCTATACTGACAAACGGACATATCTTCTGTACACCTACATACAAAGATGTATTTCTTAGGTCTGAAGGGGAATGACCCTATACTTCCCAATGTTGAGGTTTATCTGGCAAAGTTTTGCTCATTTATTTAATCTAAAACTGCCCCTTTTAACAATTTTCTGCTTTCATCTGCATTACCCTTTAATTGTTTCACTCACCTTAACTTGGATGGATAGCTCACTACTCGTTCAATTAGGTTATTTATAAATATACTTTAAAATTGAGATCCACGAACAGATCCCTGGGGACACTAACAGAGAAGGAAGAATGTTAATGATTGCTAAGTGAATAGCTGGAATTACAGTGGGTAACTATACAGCGATTGGTCTAACATCCATTGTTGGAAAAGTATTGGGATCAATTATTAAGGAAGTAATAGCAGAACATGTGAAACATCATAATTTATTTAAGCAGAGTTAGCATGGCTTTGTGAAAGGGAAATTATGTCTGACAAATTTTATCAGAGTTTTTTGAGGAAGTGTCAACCAGATTGGATAGAAGAGAACCAGGTACCCAGGTACCTGACAGTAAATACACTGTCTCTACCCTCAAATAGTCTCACCACCCATCTTTGAACTATATCAGGAGTTCTATCTTGTAGTAGCCCCTTTATACTGATTTATGACTTATGTCAGGAACCCTTCACGGAGAAAACTCCAATACAATGAAAGACATTCTGAAGCCAGAGCTTTAACTTTGCAAAACATAGGCATCCCAACCAATCTTGTAAAATCCTGAAGGTTTCAGTCCAGTGCAGTTTGCAATATAGCCCCAGTGAAGATCCAGGTTTGTAGTCACTTGCTCTGTCATAACCATGGATCATAATTCTAGAATACTTATGGATATATCTTATATATATCAATTCCAACAATTTTTAAACAAAAGGGCTGATACAGACAAAATGATTTTGGATGCATATCCAATGGCTGTCTAGAGAGAGAGACCTGGAATATGTCAACTGACAAGGTGTCAATTAAGGCTAAAAGGGGAGAAATGCATTATAAACTGAACGACAATCTCCAGTAAATTATCTCAGACTACCGTCATGATGGGAGAAAAGGCAGTAGTCAGACGGAAAGACATGTTTTATGTGTTCCCTTTTCAAGAGTGCACAAGTACGTGATTAAAATCCAGTTCCACTCTAGTCTGTGTGTGTGTGTGAGTGGAAAAAGACTGGCTAGTAAGCTGAGAAGTGTGCACGTGTGTCAGTGGGCTGAGGTAATCAAATACTCTAGATTGAGTTTGGGCACTATTGTGATGTGAAAGTCACAGGCAAAGAATCACCAACTAAGTTACACCTGCATTGCAGATAAAGGACTTGCTCACTCTGACAGCTAGAAGTCGGCAAGCCAGAAAGCCAGACAAAAGGAAACGGGACACAAGGATTTCAGAAACCTGTAAAGCCAAAAGTTCCATAATCAACTATTAACGTGAAATTACCTACTCTTCCCAAATGATCCAGAGGCTGAAGCATAAATCTTTCAACTTTTTATTTTCGTTTAGACTCACTTCTCATTTCAAATCTGTGTATACGCGTCACATTATTGTTACTTCTCATGTTTAGTATCTAGAAAACTCTCTCTTTTGTGAACTCAAGAAAGCCTAGTTAAATTTTAAATGTTTGCATGTTCTCCCAACGTCTGTGTGGGTTTCCTCCGGGTGCTCTGGTTTCCTCCCACAGTCCAAAGATGTGCATGCTAGGTGGATTGGCCACGCTAAATTGCCCGTAGTGTTCACGGATGTGTAGATTAGGTGGGTTACAGGGGGTTGGGTCTGGGTGGGACGCTCTGGGGTTCAGTGTGGACTTGTTGGGCTGAAGGGCCTGTTTTCACACTGTACGGATTCTATATATATAAATTAGCTCTTTTTAAAACATAAGATCATTTGATCTCGGGAAAGGTATCCACACAGGAGAGATTCTATATCAACTAACTTTGTTTTGATTAACCAAGGAGGCATCTAAGTAAGAAAGGGGAGCCAGTTCATCTTCACCTGGAAACTTGACAATTTGGGTATCCCACTGAGAACAATGATAACTAGAGGAGCCTTGCTAGGACTGGTCATAACATCTGTGTGCTACAGGACTACATGCCGTAACACAGTCATTCTGTCAATCAGAGATGCCAAGCCTTGCTACCATAGAAGGAAGATGTACCAGAGAAAGACTAAGAAAAGGACTTGAACAAAAGGGCAATGAGAAAAGTCCAAGTCATGCATAGCTTGTAACCGCATGAACAAAGGCAACAAATCACTGAGGAAGGAACTTCTGAAGCAAATTCTCTAACTAGTGCACCACCTTTTGACTCATTCCTTTCACATATCTTCCGAATATCCTTCACCCTTACAATCCAAGGCTTTCATTATACAAAACTATGAAAATGAAATTCAAACTCAATGCAAAACAAAATCAACCTCCTTATATGGTCCTGTCTTTAAACGCTGTCATCAAGCAACTTGATATTTTTTTCCTGTCTTTAAATTGTCAAGAACAGCAAATATTCAAGCTCTGCATTAGATGAGCTATTGATTAATAGCCAAACTAGCAGGCCCATCATGCTGTTTTAGGATTAAAAAGCCTAAACGGTAAGCCCAATTTTTTATTCATTCCTATTTGCTCACTATACTTGGTAAGTGATACATTCTCCTATAATGTGTAATTGCACTGACATGGCTGAAGTGGTCTATTTATCTCCTCTTACACAACTACAAATATCACCATCAATGAAGGTAATTTAGTTCTTGGTCAGGCCATTGATGTTCTGCATCATTTATGTTGATTTTCGAGCAGATTCAATTCAATTAACATTTCATACAATAATGCATACAATAATGCATACATGTTCAGTATTATAAAGTAACCAAGGTTACAACTGTTTCATGACTCCATTAAATTTGTACTTTAAAAAATAATTGGTCCGTTGTCTTTCACTCCTCAATCTCTTAAAATGAAAATCTTTTAATGCTACCTGTTCATGAAGGCACTTTAAATCCTTCAGTCTTAAGTCCCAGAAATCAATCTCTTCTCTAGGCAGAGGGTTTAAGCCATCAAGCAAAGCTTGTGCTGAATCTTTGTTTAATACATCTTTGACTTGATGTGTCCAATCGATGACTACAGATTCAATAGCATGTAAAGTGGCACCATCGACTTGAATAGTTGAGCTGGAATTTAAAGCATAAGATTAGAATAAAGATACCTTAGTATTGTTGCTATACAATTTCAATACACTGCACGCTCCAATTATTAATAGATAACCTTAATTCCTGTAACTTTAAAGTGTTAATTTTCCAGGCCTGTGATACCAAGCTTGGAAGATGGGTACTGGAAAATTGCAAGGGACTGCATTGGTCAAGCTTTCTGATAAATTTCCACAGCCAGGAAACTTTCAAATGAGCAGGCTGGGAAATAAAGTGATCCACAGCACAGGAAAAGGCCATTCAGTCTAACATGTTGGTGACGGTCAATAACAACAGTCTAAACTATTCTAATCCCATTTTCTAGAACTTGTTGTCTTTTCCAGTGCCTAGGTCAATGAGGTGGTCTGTCTGATTTCAGTTTATTGTTGACACTTTGTAGTAATTGATACAACTGAGGGGCTCACCAGACCACTTCAGAAGACAGTTAAGAGTCAACCACATTGGTTGGATCTGGAGTCACATGAAAGTGAGGATTTCAGATTTCATTCCCTGAAGGACATGATGGAGCCAGATGGGTTTTACCCACAATTGACAATTGTTTCAAGCTCATCAGTAGATTCTTAATTCCAGGTATTTTTTACTGAATTCAAATTTCACCATGTACAGGGGCAGTAATACTACTGGGTCATAGCTTCCCCAAATAATATTTTGAATCAATCCGCTCAGACAAGTTATGACAAATCTCTGGACCACATGGCATTTGAACCCAGGTTTTCCAGTTGAGAGGTGCGGACACTATCACCGCAAAACAAGAGTTGTCTGTGATCATATTCTGTATTTTCTAACCAACCTGTTCTGCAGCAGATGGGATTTGAACCTAGGCTTTCTGGCTCAGAGGGGCATCACCAATATAAGTATTTTCCATAAAGGCTAAAGCAACTAATCTCCTGCATTCTGAGGTAGCATTTTTCAAGGCTGTATAGATTATAGTAGACAGGAAGGTACCAGGTAGGCACCTTCCATTCTCATCATGAATTGAGGCCCTTAGTTAGAATTAATGACCATTCAACAATCTCAATCTGCTGCTGCTTATGCTTGACAAGTAAATCTTTGCAGAATATTTGTCATCTTCTGGGGATTGGGGACCCTCCTTCAAAGGCACTTCAGTGCCTTATCGAGGATGACAGGATCAGAAAGGGAGAAGAAATTAGGCTAATAAAGGCCAGCCCCTGCCCTTGCCGCACCTGCATCCCTTACACCACAACCCTGATTCCTGCAAATTTCCCTGTCATGACTTACATCTGGTCTAGGTCTGTGCAACTGGACCTCTGGTTGGCCTTTCCTGGAAGAGACCTTGCTACCTCTGTCACACTGCAGAGAAAAACAGCTGCCAACCTCTGACTAGCAGATTCTGATTCTGAGGGAACGCTCACTATCACCCGATTGGCCTGTGACTCTTGAGCTTTCCAGCAGGCAGACAAGCCCTTGCCACATCCATAACATTTTGTCCATGGAGATTGGTAATGTTCCCACTGCTGCATTAATCACTTTTGCAGAAAAGAACATCCATTTCATCTAAAAACAGCAGCATCATTCTGCCTTAAGCTACAGGAATAGTAGAGTCAATAGTTTGAATTTTTTTTCCTTTATTCATTCACGGCATGAGGGCGTCACTGGCCAGGCAGCATTTATTGCCAATACCTAATTGCCCAGAGGGCAGTTAAGATCAACCACACTGCTGTGGGTCTGGAGTCACATGTAGGCCAGACCAGGTAAGGATGGCAGTTTCCTTCCCTAAAGGACATTAGTGAACCAGATGGGTTTTTCCGACAATCAACAATGGACTCATGGTCATCATTAGATTCTTAATTCCAGATATTTTATTGAATTCAAATTCCACCATCTGCCATGGCAGGATTCAAACCCAGGTCCCCAGAACAATATCTGGGTCTCTGGATTAATACTCCAGCGATAATACCCTTCTTCCAGAATACCTGAGATGCAGAAATAATTCCCAAGGACTGAATGACGGTAAACAGCAAGATGCTTTTAAAGAAAGGGCAAAAGAAAAAACAAGAAACTATAGGCCAATTTACTTAGTATCAGTTGCAGACAAAATCACTCTTCTTCAGGGAAATATTAAAAGACACTTCGCAAATCATATAATAATGACATGGAATGAGCAAGGTGATAAGGCAAAACTAGTGGAGTTAGATTTTCAAAAGGCATTTGATAAGGGTCTATACAAGAGGTCATTACTTGAAATTAAGAATCACGGGGTTGCAGGTATATTAGAATAGATTGAGGAATGGTTATAAACATAAATCAGAAAGTAGACATAAATGAGATATTTATTTTGTTTGAACAGACCATAACTAGTATTTTACCACAAGAACCAGTAATTAAGGCCAGCTATATACAATCAATATTAAAAAGAGTTAGAACAATGGACTGATTTTATTGCATCGAAGTTTTCTCATCATCTAAACTTAGATGAGAGAGCAAATAGTGAGCAGTCCTCAAAGAGTCTGCCGTAAGATATAGATAAGTTGGTGAAGTGGGCATGAACATGGCAGACAAGATTTTAATATTGTTACTTACTTCTGGTGACCTGTTAAAAACAATTATTGGATTTTTTTTTAATTTAAAAGAAACTCAATTATATAAATTATGTGCTCCAGATAGAAAGTAAAATCAGTAAGTGTGTCATGTTCATATGTTAAAGCAATACTGTGACAGGGAAAATAGTCAAAACAGAACTGTGTTCTCTGTGGTGAAAAAAGTATGAAGTTGAATAAAAATATCAAAGTGATTTAAAAATGGTCAGAATTGAAATTCTAAAATCACTCAATCAGCACTCAGATCAGATAATATAGAGGTACTTAAAAGTTTAATATAATACCATGTCTCAGAAAACTTAGAAGTGACTTACGAAAGCTATTACAGTCCCATATTTTGACTTTTGTAAATAGGCCAGGAAAATCATATTTGGTCATACATTATTTTAATGTACAAGAAGCATTACCCATAAAGCAACATTCTTGTAGACACAATCAAGAGAAGTTAGCTCAAGTTTATGAAGGAAAATAATGTTATTGAATTGAGCCACATCATAATTGTGCTGAAACCAGATGGGTCACAATGATTATGTATAATTTGTTGCAAAAGTCAAGGTGGTTACAAAGGTGTCTTTATATCTAAATCTTAACTAGGTAATTATATTGTGAGAATTGAACAAGCAAGCTTTGTTACAAAACATAATTTATTGAAGGGATATTGGCTATTGGCTAGAGTTAGAGTCTGGAACCTTCTTTGTTTATATGCATTTTAATGATTTTTTAACATTTTACTACTCAAAAGGGCTAACAGCTCAGCGTATTAAAAAATGGCAGCAGAATAAAATTGTGCTGTTGCCTAGTGACTACAGACAGAACAATCAGAAGGCAGTCAAGTCAGTATGTTCGTGCATGTGCTAAACAGTGGAGGCTGCAATGTTAACCTCTAATGGGAAATCTAGGAAAAATTGCTGCATGCTGTATTTAGAGAACTTGTGTTTGCTCTTAAGTCATGATGGGTTTAATTTTCAGTCTATTTTAGGTGGCTTTAGGAAAATATACCAACTAAAGAAAAACATCATTCAATAAGAACATAAGAAATTGGAGCAGGAGTAGGCCAGTCAGCAAACACTTCATCCAACAACAGGAGTAATACAGAAGACAATGAAGGTGAACAAGCCACAAGATTATAAACAGAAATTCAGTTGGACAGAACAGCAGAACTACTTCAAGGTGGGCAAACATGGAAAAGAAGTGGCAGTGAATTAAACACTCAAGTAAAAGATAAACTACAGATAGTGGAAATTTGAAACAAATATAGAATGTTGCAGTGGCAGATTGTTCTCTAAACCACTTTGCTGTCATGGTAACATTTTTGTCCTGGACCTGCTGCAATGTTCCATGAAGCATAAAGCAAGTTCAAGGAACACCACCTTAATTTCCACTTAGCCACCCCACACTTCCCCCCAACACCCATTAACCCCAGACTTGTTTGTATCATTTTTACTTTGCTCTCAGTAGAGAGGACCCATTCTTTCCCTTTCACACATTAATTTTCAAAATTTTTCTCTCTTTCACCACCATTAACATCCTTTTTATCTTTTGCACTGAGCCTCTGCACCATCTATAGCTTTCAACCCTCCACCACCTCTGTCAAATGTACAAAGAGAAACATTTTCCAACATACTTCAGTTCTGAAGAAGAGTCATACAGGACTTGAAAAGATAACTGTCTCTCACACAACAGATGCTGCCAAACCTGATGAGTTTCCCTAGCATTCACTGTGTTTCAAATTTGCAGCATCCGCTGTATTTTGCTGCTGACAGGATCACGACTGAGCTTATAAGAACTCGGAGCAGGAGTAGGCCGTCTGGCCCTTCGAGCCTGCTCCTCCATTCAATAAAGATCACGGCTGATCCTTTCGTGGACTCAGATCCACTTATCCGCGTTCTCACCGTATCCCTTAATTCCTTTATTATTCAAAAAAAATCTACCTTTTTTTAAAAATCATTTACTGAAGTAGCGTCAACTACTTCACTGGGCAAGGAATTCCATAGATCAGCAGCAAAAGAGTGACAGTATCATTCTGTGATTAGAGGAGCAGTGAACAGTGTAACAGTGAGTGTAACCATGAAGGTCCCACTGTCTCGACCTCATCCCTCTCCAGAGGCGTGGTAACACTCAGGTTAAACCACCACCAGTTGTTTCTCTCTCTAATGAGAGGGCAGCCTATGGTCTTCTGGGACTATGGCCATTTTACTTTACCTTATTACAGCTGCAGTTTTAACACCAGGCTCAAAGCAGTGAATCCTCAGGGCAACAAATTTCAAAAGATTAGCAATCCTTTGAAATTTCTTACCTCAATCCTAAATGGCCAAGCCCTTATACCAGGACAATAAACCCAAGTCCTGACTCATAACCATAGGAAAAAGTCAAGTCTCTGAAACACTATATCTGTTTCAACAATTATAATGCTTCTTCTTCAAAATTCCAGGGAACAGGACAGACTTCACCCAACATTTTATTACAGGACAATCATCTCAGCCCAGAAACCTGTTTTGTCTTTTTTTCAATAAAACCGAAAGAACTGTAAATCAGGAACAAAAACTGAAGTTGATGGAAAAGCTCAGTAGGTCTGGCAGCATCTGTGAAGAAAAAATCAGAGTTAACATTTCAGGTCTGGTGACCCTTCCTCAGAACTCAGAACCCAGTTCTGAAGAAGGGTCACTAGATCCGAAACATTAACTCTAATTTTTCCTTCACAGATGCTGCCAGACCTGTTGAGCTTTTCCAGCAACTTTTGTTTTTGTTCTTGTATTTTTTCATTTACTTTATCTATCTAGCTCTTCACAGCTCTTTAATATCCTCACAGCTAACCTTCATAGAGAAGTTGAGTAAAACTACCTGTTAGACAATGTTATGACATTGCTGTGTGGCAAGTGGGACTTGAACCTTCTGACCTAGAGGCAAGGACTCTTTCACTCCACCTCAAGGTTCTCTCTCACATCATTGCATCATCAGCAAACTTCAATGCCTTTCACTTGGTTCTATCATTTATTATATTTGATTCTCTCATTCAAGTTATTTTTATAGATTATAAGCAGCTGAGACCCAAGTATTGACCAAAACGACTTATTATTAAACCCTCAGATGCCTTTTCGCATCACATCAGAAGAGTTCAGAGTTTATCATATGCCTGTGTTCTCTCAGAGGGAATAATTCAGCAAAAACACAGAATGTAAGAAATACTTTTATACTTTGAGAAAATATAAAGTGCAAATATAAGTAAGCTTTTGAGACATCATACCTGTCTGACTCCTCATCTGAATCTTCCAGATCATCTGCAATTTTTGGAAGAGCAAGAAGTGCTTTCCCTTTTAGCTGTCCACCAAATACAAATACATCATTTTTAAGTTGTTGGGCATGTTTCACTACATCTTCTGATACCACCTGAGGCCAGGTTGTCATATTATCAGTGTTTGTGAAAAGCGTACACACCACCTAGAAGACAAGAATCATCATGAGTTTTGAAGAACTCAATTCACACAAAAACTGAAAGCTGTCATTGAACAACAAATTGACAGATTTTCTTAACTAATGTAAGTATAATGGACTGTGTTAAATGTTTACACTTTGCAACTGTAAGAATAAAACTGCACTAAATATGTGGATTTCACTAATTCATTTTCTAACTTAAGTCAACAGAGTATCAAACATGTTTTTACAAGTTGACACTTGATCATGAAAATCTCTATTCAGACATGATAATGTTACCAATTTGGCCATTATTTATTTATTATTATATATTTGAGCTTCACCTCAGAGTATGTTATAAAATCAGTAATTATTTATCACAGAACAAAGACATTTGTCCCCATTTAGTTCACTTAACCAAAAAGATTCTAATTCCCTCTCACCAGTCAGTGAGACTGGTCCATATTCGAGAACTCTGTGGCCAACATAAATGAGTATGCCACTACTGTCACCGACTTCCTCGTTCAGTGTTTAGAGGATTGCATGCCAAAGAAGTTAATCTGAGTGTTCCCCCACCAGAAACCATGGATGAACCAGGAGACCCACTCCCTACTGAAGTCTAGATCTGTGGCACTGGAGGGATTGTTCCAGCACACTTATGGCTCGCTATATCATACATTCTATATGGAGCATAGCTCTCATTTTATGCATGCTGCACAGTTGGAATTCAGAGACTTAATGACTTTGAAAATGCAACAGTGGACAATAAATTAGGAGATATTAAAATATCACCTGTTCTAGCCTGAAAACTGACTGACACATAAGGCTCATGAGCAGATGCTTGGAAATGTTGCGGCCTAATGATGTTTCCTAGACTCTCTCATCTTCCTTCTTAGGGCTTTTGTACAGTGGACACTGTATTCAAGTACATTCCTTCCCAAGCATTTGACAGCTGCACCATGTTTCGCATTGTTATAAGACTTTTGAATAGATCTCTCTCTGCACCTTCTCTGTAGCTGTAACACTGTATTCTACATTCTGCTGGATCACCCTGATGTACTTAAATATAGTACAATTAGCAAGGATAGCACACAAAACAATAACTTTCACTGTATCTCTGTATATGTGGCAATAATAAATCAAATCAAATCAAACCTGGCATTTAATTGGCGCTGAAATATTTCTAGTGTTAAGGCTGCCCATGACTGAGCAACACAAAATGGCTGACAGTAGTTAGAAAGTTTGGGAAAATATTTGCTTAATACAGTCTTCACAAGTAGAACAATAGCAGTTCTGTATACGTAAGGTAACAGAACCGAGATGGAATATGCAGCTGCAATTATTTATGCATAAGACATAGACAAGAACATTTCACACTACATTTACTTAGTGAATCTGTCTATAATACCACTGGTAGGTTTTAGTTCGGATCCTTCAAATAATCACAGATATAGATTCCAAAATAATTATAGATTCACCTATATACAAAAAAACAAATAAAACCATTAGAGGAAAGGATTCAAATCAAATTATGACAGCAAACCAGTCTCAGACAGGAAAAGCAGCCCCCATATCATTACAGGGAGAAATAAATCATAGGTACATAAACTAGCAGACATTGGAATGTGGGTTAATGAACACATTATAAGACATCCAAGGTTAAAGATAGAGGTGTCCAGTAAATATGTAAGAAAGAAACTGCTCACAACTGTCAGCTAAACAAGTCTAACATTAGATGTAACCGCATAACTTTGTTAGAACTGATATTACAACAAATAGTAAAAATCAATATTCTTTTGCATTTCCTGTAATGAGATTAATAAGGAACTTAAAAGATCCTTAAGTGACAGACAAGTATCCAATACATTGGCAGCTAACATGGTGCAGCTGGCAAATGCTTGGGAAGGAATGTACTTGAATACAGTGTCCGCTGTGAAAAGCCCCAAGAAGAGAGATGAGAGAGTCTGGGAAACATCGTGAGGCCACAAGATTTCCAAGTATCTGCTCATGAGCCTTATGTGTCAGTCAGTTTTCAGGCTAAAACAGGTGATATTTTAACATCTCCTAGTTTGTTGTCTAATGTTGCATTTTCAAAGTCATTAAATCTCTGAATCGCAACTGTGCAGCATACATAAAATGAGAGCCATACTCCATATGGAAGTATGATATAGCAAGCCATTAGTGTGCTGAAACAATGCCTCCACTGTCTGGAATGCTGTCCACAATATGTCATTTTTGTCAAAAAACTTCATTTCACTGTGTTGTCAAATATCACAACATTCATTTGACCACAGTGCAAACATAAGTGCCGATATAAACCAAATGTAGAGATCAAAGAATAACACATGACATACAAAAATCAAAAACTCACCTGTATGCAAGGCATCTATGTTTCAAGAGCCTTTGCTTGTCCAAATGAAATGTGTTGGTGTGGATGTGACATAGCTGAAGAAACAAATAACTGTGCCTAGACAGCCCTGTTTCAGAGTGCTCCATTGCAGCAAATGGATGATTGGCTGTTAGGTAGCAGCAAAGACCATAGACGTGGGGCTGAAGGAGGCCATTCAACCCATCTGTTGAGTCTGTTCACCCATTCCATGAGATCATAATTGATCTAATAAGCCTCAACTTCACTTTCCTCCTTTTCCCCATAACCCTTGATTTCCTTATTGATTAAAAATCTGTCTATTTCAGCCTTGAATAGACTTAATGACACAGCTTCATCAGCTCACTGCGGTAAAGAATTCTACTGATTCATAACCCCAAAGAAGAAATTTTACCTCTTTTCTCTCTTAAATGTGTGACCTTTTATTCTAAAATGATGTCCTCTGGTCCTAGACTCTCCCAAAAAGGAAAACAACTTTTTTGTATCTGCCCTATAAAATGCTCAAAGGATCTTGTACGTTTCAATAACATCATCTCTCATTCTTCTATACTCCAACAAGTACAGACCCAATCTACTCAACCTTTCCCATAAGACAGTCTTCCCATGCCTGGTATCAAGTCAAGTTAACCTTCTCTGGACTGCCTCCAACGCTAGTATAACTTTCCTTAGATAAGGGACCGAACACTATCCACAGTATTCCATCTGTGATCTGATTTGTGCCTTTTATGGTTTTCACAGAACTTCCCTACTTTTATATTCCCTACCCTTTGAAAAAAAAGGGCCATTATTCCATTTGCCTTCCCTATTACCTGCTGAACTTGGATGCTTCCTTTTTGAGATTTATGGACAAGGAATCCTAAATCCCTCTACTCTGCAGCTTTCTGCAGTCTTTCCTGATTTAAATAATATTTGGTCCCTCAATTCTTCCTGCCAAACTGCATTATCTCACATTTTGCCACATTATCTTCCATCTGACAAGTTTTTGCCCACTCAGTTAGCCTATCTATAACCCTCTGCAAATTCTGTGTGTCATTCTCACTTGCCTTTCCACCAAGTTATGTGTCATTTGTAAACCTGCCTGTAGTACATTTACTTTCCTCTTCCAAAAAATGAACTTATGTTGTAAATAGTTGTGGCCCCTGCACCGATCCCTGTGGCACTTCTACTAGTTACAGGTTGCCATCCTGAAAATGCCCTCCTTATCGTAACTCTGTCTCCTATTAGTTAGTCATTCCTCTATCCATGCTAACGTACTACCTCTAATACCCTATTAAGTAGCTAATGTGCGATACCTTATCAAACACCTTCCGAAAATTCAAAAATTACATCCACTGCTTCCTCTTTATCTATCCTGCATATTCTTATGTTCTTGTTACCTCTCAAAGAATTCTAGTTAATTTGTCAGGCATGATTTCCCATTCACAAAACCATGCTGAGTATCATTGCTTTATCATATTATGTATTTCTAAATGCTATTCTGTTAGATCATTTTAATAGACTCTAACATTTTCCCAATGACAAACATTAAGATAATTGTTCTGTAGAAGGGTTACTGGACTCAAAACATTAACTCCACTTTCTTCCCACGGATGCTGCCAGACCTGCTGAGTTTCTCCAGTAATTTCTGTTTTTGTTTCACATCGCCAGCATCCACAGTTCTTTGTTTTATTTTCACATGAGGTTATGCACTTATGGCAAGAAGTATATAATATTATTTCAACGGAGTGAAAGTGCAGAAAACGGCCACAGAGAGGGATTTCAGCATCCTCATTCATGAACTACAAAAAGCTATCATCAAAGTTCAGTCAGTAATTAGGAAGGCAAATGCACTGCAGGCCTTTATTTCAAAAGGAAAGGAACATAAAAATGGGAAAGTATTGCAAAAACTATGCAAGGCAGGAGTCAGGCCACACCAACAGTAAACAGATTTAATCACCTTATCAAAGGAAAAGTATACTGGTTTTGGAGGCAATCCACAGAGGTTCATTATGTTGATTCCAGTTATGGACTGAGATTCCTTAGGGTTTAAAAGAATTAAAAGATCCTTTCTTGAAATACAAGAGACTCTAAGAGGGCTTAAAATTGTTACAGAGATAGTAGGAACTGCCGATGCTGGAGAATCT